TCTCCATATATATATGATTATTAATTATATATTATATACTATATAAAATAAATATATTATATATGAATATATATATACCTACATATACACCACAGCACACACACACAAGATCAACAAAGCACACAGAGAAACTCTCCGACTTTCCGGTCGGCGAAGTCGCTCGTGTCAGGAAGACGTCCAGCACGGAGCGGTGGCGGCAGAGGGCGTTTCTGCCGGTTGGGCGCCGTCGTGTCGTGGGTGGCGTTGGAGCAGAAGTGCGTGACGTGAGGCAGGTGGTGCATGTACATGAGCGATGACGTCACGCCGTCGTTGTTGTTGTAGCTCGGGGAGAATCTGCAAGCGGGGTCGCGGGGGTTGTCGCATGATGCCCTGTTTGAGGGGGAAAGAGATAGGGATAAGTGGATGATTTGCTGAGATAAGGATAAGTTGAATGATTTTGGGGGAGAGAAAGAGATAAGGAGATAAGCGAATGATTTTGGGAGAGAAAGAGTCGATGGATAGTGGATTTGATTTGGGGGAGAGTAGGAGATAAGGGAATATTTTGGGGGAGAAGAGAGGGGTAGAAAGTGAAGTGATCTTTGCGGAGGAGAAAGAGATAAGGAGATAAGGGAATGATTTTGGGGGAGATAAGGAGATAAGTGAAGAATTTTTTGAGGAGATAGAGAGGGGGGGGGGATAATTAAATAATTTTCTGAGAGAGAAGAATAGAGATAAGTTCAGTGATTTTGGGGAAGAAGGAATAAGGAAGTAGATAAGCGAATGATTTGGGGGAGAAGAAGAAGGGGAAATAAGTAAATGATTTTGGGGGAGAAAGAGATAAGGAGATAAGTTTAATGATTTTGGGGAGAAAGAGAAAGAGGGAGATAGTAAATGATTTTGGGGGAGAAAGAGATAAGGAGATTTTGGGGAAAAGAGAAAGGGAAATATAATAATTGATTTTAGGGAAAAAAATATCAGCGTTGTATATTTCATCATTTAGAATATGTATGATACATTCATGGAAATGTTTAGATGATGATATTTATGGTAATGAGAGTAATTACGTAGATAATAATGATGGATAACGAAAAATTATTTAAAAAATACGAGAACTTTCTGTATTTGATCATTTCTGCCAATGTGCATGTTTGAAAGACGTTTTAATCTTGTGCCTAATTATGGAGAAAGAAAGAAGAAAAAAAAAGAAGAGAAAAAAAGACGAAGATGACGATAAGACAAAAAGATGATGAGGAAAGAACAAGGAGGAGGGAGGAGGAGGAGAAGACGAAGAAGAAGGAGGAGGAGAAGAAGGGAAAAGAGAAGGGGAAGACGGAAAGGAAGTAGAAGAAGAAGCAGAAGGGAAAGGAGAATGAGAAGGAACAGGGAAGGAGGAGAAGAAGGAATAGGAGCAAAAGGAGAAGGAAGAGAAGAGAAGAGAAAAAGAAAGGAAAAAGAGATAGAAGAAAGAAGAAGTCGAGAAGAACAAGAAGCCAGGCAAAGATTAAAAAAAGAAAGAGAATCAAGACGAAGAGGAGAAACACACAGAAAAGTAAATAAGAAAAAGAGTAAGAATTAAGATAAATGAAGAGAAATACAGGAAGAACAAAAATGAGAAAAATAGATTAAAATATAAAGTAAAAGAAATAAATAAAGAATGAAAGAAGAAGAAAAAGAAAAAAAGGCAAACAATAGAAACGAGAAAGAAGAGAAAAAAAAAGAAAAAAGAAAGACAAGAAAAATAGCGAAAAAGAAAGAAGAAAAATAGAAGAAAGAAAGAAGAAGCTAAAGAATACAGATGCACCCACCCAAACCTCAGCCTCTCACTTTACCCGTCGCAAGGCAATTGAGTCTGAATGGGCAGCCACGCCCCTTATATTCGATCCATATATACAGAGAGTGGTAAGACGACGGAGAGAGGAGTTGAATATATATATACGTGTGAGGGGCGCTTAAGAAGTGGAAAAGGTTCTGAGAGAATAAGTGGGAGTGGTGGGTGAGAGAGAGAGAGAGGTAGTGGAGTAGAGACGTGTAGGAGTGGATGGGGAGGGTTGTGGAAGGGAGTGGGTGGATGGTGGGAGTGGGAGTGGGTGGTGTGGAATAGCTAGTGTACGAGTGGGTAGAGAAGATAGATGGATAGAGTGTGGGAGGAGTGTGAAGGGACAATATAGGGAGGGTGTGGGAGGGTGTGAGTACGAGTGGAAGTGAGATATATGGTAGGGTGTGGGAGGAGTAGGAGTAGGAAGTGGGTGGGAAAATGGGAATAGAGGAGATGGGAGTAAGGTGAGGGAGGAAATAAGGGAGAGATTGAGAGGGGAGTGGGAGGGTGTGGGAGTAGAGAGATAGAGAGGTGGGATAAGGAGAAGGAGGAAAGTGGGAAGAGGGGAGTGGGAGGTGATGGTGGTGTAAGTGTGGAGGGTAAAAAGGAAGTGGGTGGTGGGAGTAGAGAGGGGTGGTGGGAGGGTGAAAAGGGTGGAATAAGTGGAGACTTGTGGGAAAGAAAAAAATAGGAGTGGGGAGTGAGAAATGGGTGGGAGCAAAGAATGGGAGGTGGGAGTGTGGCGTATGTGGATCTGAGACTTGCCGGGAGGGTGTGGAGGGTCGGTGTTGGGGTGTGGCCAGGGTGGTGGGCAAGTAGGTGCCAGTAGGAGTGGGTAGGGATCGGGAGTAGGGTGGGTGTGGGAAGGATGGGAGGGGTGGGTAGGGGGCGTGGGAAGGGCGTGGGTGGGTGTGGGAGGGGTGTGGAAGGAGTGGGAGTGGGAGGGTGTGGGTAAGGGAGTGGGGAGGAGTGAAGGAGTGGGTGGGGGTGGGAGTGGGGAGAGAGTGGGAGGGTGTGGGAGGGTGTGGGAAGGGGAGGTGGGTGTGGAGGGTGTGGAGGGTGGGTGGGAGGGAGTGGGGGTGGAAGTTCGGGAGGAAGGGAGTGGCGAGCGGTGTAGGGAAGGGAGTGGGATTCACACGCACGCATAAATCCGCGCAGGCAGGTCTACACCACCACACACACACACACACACGAACACACGACGGGCAGGCAACACTCGACCACCATCGACACAGACTCCCCGCCCACTCGCCTCCACCCCAGGCCTCCCATACACCCCTTCCACCGCTCCTCCACACCTACCCACGCACTACGCACCCGCCCCGCCCGCCCTTCAATCCCCCTCCCACACCCACCCATACAACCCGATCCCGCCCACCCTATGCCCCCCCTCCCACCCCAGACCCTTCCCCTCCGTCCACGCTTCTCCTCGTTCCTTCTACTCCGCGGGGGCCACCAGCCCCGGCTCCGTACATCGTTACCCTACATATCACCCCCCTCCCCCTCAAGACCACTCACCCGTATCTCAGTGAACAAACCCACCGGCAGTTCTTAATTAAAACAAAATAGACACGTGAAAATTGACGTTAATAACCAGCCTCGTGCACTCCCCATTCTTGGCTGCTATTTCTACAGGCAGACGATCGTAGGAAAGTGTTTCGTGCTCAGCTCAATCCTATTGTTCTTGAATTTGGAGTTATGGATAATTATTTTTTTTACGGAAATCAGTCCCTCACACGGGTTAACGGGAGTTTTAATTAGTCATGTTTGTTTTCTGCTATTCATTTTATCTCATTACATGGTTATTGCTTACCCTCGGTATGTACGTGAAGAAAAGTAAGAAAAGGGATAGAGAAAGGTAATATGTTAAGTGTTGGGTTTTATGTACATATATATCATAAATACTAAATAGCATCATCTTATCTGTGTGGTGTGATGTGGCTGTGTGTGTGTGTTGTGTGATCCCATAGCTCCGTCGCATGCCATAGTGCTCGTGTGGTGTGGTGTGTGGTTGATTGTGTGTGTGCTGTATGTGTGTATTCGGAGCTTGTACCTAACCCCTCCCCGTCATACATAAGTATGCATATTATATATAGATTAATATCTACTATGTGACTATATAATATAAGCTACTACGCATATTAATATATGTATATATATATGATGTTTGTGGTCCGTGTGTAGTGGCTGTGTGTGGTGTGTGCTCGTGGTGTGTGTGGTGTGTGTTGTGTGTGTGTGTGTGGTGTGTGTGTGTGTGTGTGTGTGTGCTATATATATATTATATCTATATATATATACCATATATATATATATATATATATATACTATATATATGTCACTATATACAGTATATATATACTAATATGCTAATAATATATATATATAATATATATATATATATATATATACATATATATATATATATATATTATATATTATATATCATCATATATATATATTAAATATATATATATATATATATAATATAACTAAATATATATATATATATTAATATAATAATATTATTATATATCACACTTTAACAAAGAATAAAACAGAGAGAAAAACAACAGTGTAGGATTCTTTGGGTACACTGGTATTTTTACATATTTTTGCCATCAGTACTTTGGTCAATAAAGAAAGGCAATTCTGATACATATATACATTAATATGAGTATCGAAGAACATTTTTGGCACCCATGTTATCTTTTACTGTTATCATAGTTTTCATCATAATCATCATTATCTTTGTCATCGTCAATTCGTCATTATCATTAAAAGCCATCATCAATGTCATTATTACTGTCACAGTCACTGCCATTGGTCATTACAATCCTTGTCACTACTATCATCATCATTATCCTTATCCTTTATCATCAAATCACTGTCGCAATTATCCTAATGACTACTGGGGATAAAAATATACCCATTGTTTTCACATCAACAAACACTCGGTGGTTGAGAAGGGAAGGGAGGAAGAGGAGGAGAAGGAGAGATGTGGAAGGAGAGGAGAAGGGAGGAGGAAGAGGGATCGCGGTCGCGGCTGCGCGCTGAGGGCGGAAAGAGGTAGGAGGAGGGGGGAAGCGAGGCATGAGGAGAAGGAAAGAAGACAGCAAGAAAAAGAAAGAGGCGGGAGGAGGAGGCAGAAGATATGAGGTGGAGGGGAAAGGGGGAGGAGGAAGGAGGGAGGGAGTAATTCGGAGACGGGAGGGAGGAGGAGGAGGAGGATGGTGGGAAGGGGGGAAGGGAAAGGGAGAGGAAGGAAGTGAGGAGGAGGAGAAAGAAGAAAAAGAAGAGGAAAAGATGCAGAAAAAGAAGCAGAAGATCAGAGGGAATAGAGGAAGAATAAATGAATAAAGAATAAAGGAAGAAAGAAAAAGAAAAAAGAAGAACATAAATAAATAAACAAATGAATAAAGATTAACAAGAAAGAAAGAAAAGAAAGAAAGAAGAAACTTAAAATAAAATAAACAAATTGAATAAAGTCCAAAAAAGAAAACAGGAAGAACAGGAAAGAAAGAAAGAAAAAAGAAAGAAACATAAATAAATAAACAAATAATAAAGAATACAAAGA